TAGTGGAATTTTGAGGCACTGATGTCGTATTTGTTCGAAGAATAATTGCTTTTTCAGTCCTTGACGACGAGTATCTTCACTGGCTTGACGATCCTCAGTGCACACTCGCTTAGCGCACTAGAATTTGGCACATAGCAGCATAATCAGGGCCATATGCATTCACTTATGAGCCATATGTGTTGCTTTTGGACACTCTGCTAGCTACTTCCGTTTCTTCTCAGTGAATCAATGAATGCATATTGTGCTGGGGATGCAGTTCTTCATTTCATATATCTCCGGAATCGATCAGCTGAGATTGATTATTGTTGACTAATTTGCTTTTTGATACGTTGAAGCATGAAAAGAAGGCGCACCAAGTAGACATGGCATGTCTGGACGCAACTGATTGCTTAAAAAAAAATGAAGCAGCACTTATTGAAAAGTAACAGTTGTATTGGCAGAACTTTTGATATTGACCTTGCAAAACTGCTTGTATGAACATAATTGTTGGGAAGAGCATCATCAGAGCTTTTCAATTTCGGGGCCTCTCCACAATTCAGAAATATATCAAAGCGAATTCCAATTACCAGGAATTTGTCCTTCAAGCAATGCAGAGGATTTTTTGATGTCAATTCTGTGTATTGGTCAGGTTTCTGGAGCGTCTGGTGTTGCTGTAGTTGTTGGTGGAAGCAGCATCCAGTACATAGTTACGATTTGTTCCTAAATTCTGTTTTTACTTCCACTCATTGGGACAAATATTGGTGGGCAAGATGACAAGGATGAAAACGATCCAATTTTTACTCCAACAGTATTGTCGTCTTAGATATTTCATGTGTACAAAAAACAAGGATAATTTCAGCAGTTAATTTTTCTTAGATCCGAGATAGGAAATTCGACGATTTTATTGAGGGATGCAGTTAGAAAGCGAAATGAAGGGGGAAAGCGAACCAATTTTGTGCGAACATTGGTGTGGATCATTGTACATATTGACTAGTTGGATGAATTAGCAAGTTGTTGGAATTATTGGTTAAATTATTGATCCAGAAATGCAGAGATTTAAGCTTGGTTACGACAAATATGAAAATATGGGTGGAAAGGCAATCAAATCGGCATCCCTCATGCTGTTTGCTCGACAATATAAAAGTCGGGCCCTGGATACTTTATTTTCACCTCTAAGTTTGAGTGGAAGATCTGTCAGATGGGCAATTCAAAGTTTCACCCAGGATACGTGGTTTTCTTTTACTCTAAATTTGAATAGAATTGCAGTCTAATGGCATTTTTCACGCTATTTTTCTGGGCGACATGAAAGTGAGACCGGGAGTATTTGGTTTTCTCTAATTTTGAGCGAAAATGCAATCAAATGGCATTCCTCGCGCCACTTTTTTGGGCGATATGAAAGTTAGATGCGGAATATCTGGTTTTCTCTAATTTTGAGTGGAAATGCAATCAGACGGCATTCCTCGCGCTATTTTTGTGGGCGATGTGAAAGTTAGATCCGGAATACTTCGTTTTCTCTAATTTTGGGTAGAAATGCAATCAGATGGCAGTCTAATTCGTGTGGCATGGGCATTCCTCGTATTCGTGTGGCAGTCTAATTGGGCATTCCTCGTGCAATTTTTCTCGACAGTATCAAAGTTGGACCCGAAATAGTCGATTTTCTTCTCTTTCTCCTCAGCCTGGAACATTACTGTAAATCGTAGCGATGCGAAGACAATGAAATACCAGTTCGTGGACAGATAAGAAGGGTATGGCTATTGGTTTTGGCTGTGTATAGCATTGGCATGGCTATCGCTCTGAATGGTTTATTCGCATGATTCTACCCCATACGACACTATGATGTTGCTGTAGAATGATTCTCCTAGCAAGCAGGAATTTTTATTGCACATTGGGTACATGGTCGACGTCAACAGCAGTGCTGATAGATGGCTCCAGAGCATAAGGATAAGTTTGCAGCATAAAGGTTGAAGTTCTCAACGTAGTTCTCAAAAATGCGCCTAAAATTCAAAGATTCTAATTCAGTCTAATCTATAGTTCTAAAATCTAATGAGATCTAATCCTAAATTCAAAGAAAATTCAAAATTCTAAGCTTTTTTTGCACAATAAAGTGTTAAAAAACTCTGTAGGTGGAGTGCAGTTTGTGTTTGCATTATAAATAGTCGTGTCGCGCTGAAGTATGAATGGACCTTCCCAAATAATCATGGGAATCATCAGAAAAACTGTTCGTGGTTTTCTTACTTGGCTTAAGAACTGTGCCCTGTGCTTAATGTATTACGTTGCATAATTGTGTCATCCGAACAGCTCAAGTGAATGCAGCACCCGCAGCAACGGCAGAGTTTCCAGTGTCGT